GTTTTCACTTTTCATCAAATGGTGTGTTTAAAGAGGGTTTCTGTATGTAGCATATAGTTGAGTCTTATTTTTTATAATAACAATCGTTGCATTTTAATTGAAGTGTTTGTATACATACATTTAGTGTTGTGTTCATAAGGTTGAGTTTAAATATACTATCATGTAATTTGTCTCCTGTTTATCTAGCTAGTTATTAATTTTGTATCTCTCTTTTGTGTCTTATTTTGTCGTTTTTTTTTTAATGATTCCATTTTAACCTCTTTGTTAGCTTATTAGCTATAACTCTTTTTCTTTTTAGTGATTAAATTATGGCTTATGTTATACATCTTTAACTTATAGTTTACATTTATTTAGTACTGTACTCCTACACGAATAGTATAAATGCTTTACAATAGTATGTTTCAATTTCCCCTTCTACTGGCTTTTGTGTTAATGTTGACATCATTTTACTACCTATGATAGAAATCATAAATGCACTATCATATTTTTACTTTAAATCATGATGTTTTAAAAATAATTTTAAAAAGTATTTTATATTTCTCCATGTATTTACCACTTGCAATGCTCTCTAGTCCTTCTTAGATATCTAGATTTTTTTTTTTTCATATCCAGATATCTGGTATCCTTTTCCATCTGCTTGAATAGTTCTTTTAGTACAGGTCTTTGGTAATTGATTATTTGTTTTATATGTCTTAAAAATACCTTTATTTTCTTTTGTCTTTAGGGGAAAATATATGATTTTTGTTGCTGTTCATGGTAGAGCACATGTGTCGTGAGCATGTGAGAGAGAGAGAGGGGAGGGAGAGAAGAAAACACCCTCCACAGGGCCTGGTCATATCACATCCCCTTCCTCCAGTCTTCTAGCCCACCAAAATCCTGGACATGCACGCACATGCCTGGTGTGTCTTAGGTCAACCTGGATCTGAAGTCGAGATACCAGTACGGTACTTTACCAACTGTGCCACATAGGCTGGCCCTGAATAAATATTTTGATCATCATTTTTTCAAATATTTTCTGTCTCCCTACCCACTTTCCTCTTCTTTGTTACTCCAGTTACAGCCACATTCAGCTATCTGTATTCAGGGGTACTATTTTCAATGTATTTTTTAAATCTCTCTGTGTGTTCTACTTGAGATCGATCTTCCATACATCTTTTTAATATACTCAATCTTTTGTCCATTTTTTTCAACTTATATAATATAGCATAATGAATGTTTCAATATCACTTATTTTTGCTCTGTTGCATTTATGGGTCTGTTTATATTATTTGATTTTTCTCCTTATGATGGGCATATTTTTTGCTTCTCAGAATATCTGATTGAATATCATACTTTTTGAATTTTACTTTTGTAGGTGCTGGAGTTTTTTTTTTTTTTTTAATTATCATGATTATTCTTTTTTTTTTTGGAGGATTTTTGCTATAGGGCGCATGTGCTTGCCAGACAGACAGAGAGAGACATAGAGACAGAAAGCAGGAAATCACCCCCCAGGGGGGATGGTCATGCCGCAATCCCTTCTCCTCCATTCTCCTCTCGGGATCTTGGGCATGCATGCACACGTGCCCGGCATGGGTTTTAAGCCACCGGGTCCAGGACGCGAACCGCGGTTGACTACGTAGCCCACCAAAATCCTGGACATGCACGCACATGCCTGGTGTGTCTTAGGTCAACCTGGATCTGAAGTCGAGATACCAGTACGGTACTTTACCAACTGTGCCACATAGGCTGGCCCTGAATAAATATTTTGATCATCATTTTTTCAAATATTTTCTGTCTCCCTACCCACTTTCCTCTTCTTTGTTACTCCAGTTACAGCCACATTCAGCTATCTGTATTCAGGGGTACTATTTTCAATGTATTTTTTAAATCTCTCTGTGTGTTCTACTTGAGATCGATCTTCCATACATCTTTTTAATATACTCAATCTTTTGTCCATTTTTTTCAACTTATATAATATAGCATAATGAATGTTTCAATATCACTTATTTTTGCTCTGTTGCATTTATGGGTCTGTTTATATTATTTGATTTTTCTCCTTATGATGGGCATATTTTTTGCTTCTCAGAATATCTGATTGAATATCATACTTTTTGAATTTTACTTTTGTAGGTGCTGGAGTTTTTTGTTTTTTTTTAATTATCATGATTATTCTTTTTTTTTTGGAGAGATTTTTGCTATAGGGCGCATGTGCTTGCCAGACAGACAGAGAGAGACATAGAGACAGAAAGCAGGAAATCACCCCCCAGGGGGGATGGTCATGCCGCAATCCCTTCTCCTCCATTCTCCTCTCGGGATCTTGGGCACGCATGCACACGTGCCCGGCATGAGTTTTAAGCCACCGGGTCCAGGACGCGAACCGCGGTTGACTACGTGGGAGTCCAGCCACATAGCCATTACGCTAACTGCTGGTTCGCTCATGATTATTCTTGATCTTTGTTCTAGGTGGAGCTAAATTGCATGGAAACTGCTTGATTCTTTTGTGGCCTGCTTTTAGGTATAAGTAGCCAGTCTTGGCTTTATTATAATGTTGAATTTTCCCTAGTACTAAGGCAATATTGTTCTAAATTTTTTTTTATAAAGCCCTGTGAATTCTGTGGTTTCCACTTTGGCCCCTGGGAACATGAAAAATTTCTGGTCCCACACAAACTTTCTTTGTTCTTAATTTGTTGTTTTGAAAATGTTCTTAAAAAATAAAGTTGTTTGCTCTTTACTTTGGTTTATTCTTTAAGAAGGACACTGGGGGACCAGCAGTTAGCGTAATGGCTATGTTGCTGGATTCCCACGTAGTCAACTGCGGTTCGAGTCCCGGACCCGGTGGCTTAAACTCACGCCAAGCGTGTGTGCGTGCCTGCCCAAGATCCTGAGAGGAGAATGGAGGAGAAGGGATTGTGGCATGGCCATCCCCCCTGGGGGGTGATTTCTCACTTTCTATCTCTCTGTCTCTCTCTGTCTCTCTGGAGAGCGTACGCGTTTTTTCCTCTCAAAAAAAAAAAAAAAAAAAAGACATTGGTTCCTTCTTGGTTTGTTCTTTCCCCAATCTCAAGGAGTTTCTTCAAATATATTCTCTAATCAGTACTTAGCTAAAGGTTCAAGCAGAATTCTCCTGCACAACTCTAAAGCTCTTTTTGTGAATGAATTTTTCTTGTTTGTTTTGTGAACCCCAATGAACATGGCCTCTCCAAACTCTTAGTTCTGCAGTGTCAACTGCGTGAGCCTACTAGATTTCATCTGGGTTACCCTTCCATATCTTGCAGCCTGGCAACTCTAGGCAGTAAGCTAGGACAATTAGAAGATTCACCTAATATTTTTTTTCCTGTCATTTGGGAATCAATGTCATTTCCTACTTGAGAATGTCTGAATGTCTTACAATGTCTGAAACTGTTGTTACATAAATTTTGCCCAGATTTTTCATCATTTTAAATGTTAGGGTAAATCTAGTCTTTCTTTCATTATTATGGACAGAAGTACAAACTCTCATATAATTTCCATCTTTATAGAAGGAAATATCTGATATTACATGGAAATAAATATACCAAAACATTTATCACTTGATGTAAAATATATAAATAAGCAGGCTAGTCCTATTGTCTAGTAGTTAAGAGAGCCAAATCCCACATGGCCGACTATGGTTTGAATCCTGAACTCAACAGTTTGAAAACCAAACTTGTCGTGTGTGTGTGTGTATGTGTGTGTACGCACGCGCGCTCCAAATCCAGACAGGTTGAGAAATGAAGGAGCAGTAATTACAGGTGACTATGCCTTATGGGGTGGGGGGGGTGCTTTCTCTTCTCTCACTTCTCTCTCTCTATCAGGCAGTGGCATGTACCTTCTGGCAGTTAAAAAAAAAAAAAGAATATATAAGAAAATTTTATTTTATTTTTTTTCTTATTTTCCCTTCCTTACTGCCATTTTTTTTTTTGTTCTTCCTCTTCTTTCTCTCTTCCTTATATGTTCTTAAATTGTAAAATATAATCACTGCTAAAATGTCATTATTTATTTTATAGTACTTTTTAATCTTTTTATCTTATCTATCATATTTTTTCCAAGGAGAAATTTTACCTTTTTACGTAGTCAAATATATCACTCTATTTCTTTATGATCTATGGGTTTGAAATTATGCTTGGAAGGTTTTTTTTATATAGCAGGATCATCAACAGATTTACCTAAGCTTTCTTTTTTTTTTTTGGAGAGGTTTTTGCTATAGGGCGCGTGCGCTCACCAGACAGACAGAGAGAGACATAGAGACAGAAAGCGAGAAATCACCCCCCAGGGGGAATGGTCATGCCGCAATCCCTTCTCCTCCATTCTCCTCTCAGGATCTTGGGCACGCACGCACACGCGCCCGGCGTGAGTTTTAAGCCACCGGGTCTGGGACGTGAACCGCGGTCGACTACATGGGAGTCCAGCTACATAGCCATTACGCTAACTGCTGGTTCCCCTAAGCTTTCTTTTTCTAACTAACCTTATGATTTCATTTGTTTCATTAAAAATTTGGATTCATTTTGAATTCACTTATTGAAAGAAATTGTTTTTAAATTTCTTTTGTTATTTTTATTGTTTTTTAACTTGACCAGACAGAAAGAGAGAGAAAGGGAAAGTGAGAAAGCAAGCCACCAGGTTTGGGACCAAAGTGCTGTCAGTCATGTGGGAATCCTGCGCTCTCAACTACATCGCCACCTGGTGGCTGCAAAAGGAATGTTTAACCGATTAAGTAAGTTTTAAATGAAATAGTTGTGCATAGATTCCCAATTCTTGTTTTGCTTCATGGGAAGGAAGCACTCTCTTTCTATCATTCTTCGGTTAAACACTGGAGTATTAAATACATGTGCTATACCATTTAATTTGCATGAGCTAAGACTAATTTTTCAATTCTGTATTTATAAAAATAAGGATAACTGATAATCAAAATATAAATTGCTAAATAATAAGCTGCTTTCTCCTTTACTCATTAATATTGGTGCTAATTGAAATGTTAGACTCCTTGACTTTTATTACATTAGACTTGGGAGACCTGGTGTTGATTGTTACTGCCAACATGAAAGTGGTGCAGCTGTCCTACAACTCCAATTCTTGATCAATGAGGTAAGATTTTTTTCTTTAAAGCACTCATGTGCATATGTGCATGCATGAACACACGCACACACATACACACACACCGTCTACTTTAACTAATGTAAATAATTTCAATATTATTATTATAAATGCTTAAACATACACAGATATGAAGCATTACTCAGGGTCACATTTTTCATAGAATATTATACTTCCATATTTGTTAATTTATTAAATTTTAAAGGAAAAAGATTGTATAATATGCATCAGAATATACCACAATTGCTACTTCGTAGCATAGTTTAAGTTAATTATTTAAGTGACTTTTTAGGGAAAACTATAAGGTTCTTTGATTGGTTTCATACTTATTAAACTTTTCTTTTCTCCACTTTTCTATCACCAATTTAATTTTCCTTACTAACTTTTGTGATAACTTATGTTTTGTCTTTATCTTCCATGAAATAATATTTTTGCTTATTTACCTATGAGCTCTTTTATCTATTTCTATTTTCCATATGCATTTCCTGAGATATGTATGCATTTGTATTTATTTATGTATTCATAGATATTATGACAATTAGCTATCTATCCTATTCCCATTTTTAGTGAACTGTGATGATAAAGAACTCTCTAAAACCAAAATAAATTTTTTTCAAGCTCTGGGAAGTTTAAGATCTTCCATTAGTTGAAGGCTACTTATAGTGTTCTTGACTCAGGCTTTTACAGTAGCTCTTGAGTCTTCTAGATCTCTTTTATGGTAATGAGCCAGTCAATGAAAAATGATTTAAAAGATTATGCAATGTCAAATTCAGCCACTAAGAAGTTTAAATTCATTGCTAAAAGAAAGTTTAGTTGCATGATGGTGATACTTTAGTTTCTGCATATATTTGCATATAACTACAAGTCTACATCTATATATGTCCCTAAAAATTTATAATTATAAATACGGGTAAAATTGCTCATAGAACACCATATCAGAACTACCTGAAGCAAGAAAAATTTGATACATTGGCAAATGTCCACTTTACACCTCTCTTGGTTCAAAATATTTTTCAGAAGGCTATGAGACCCTCCTTATTGACAAACCTAGCATATTTTACCTTGTGGGAACACTTGCTATGGGGTACCAAAAAAGAGAGAGGGAGGTAAGGAAAAAAAAAAAACAGAGAAACTATCAACTAATATTTTATTTTCATAAGTAGTCATTATTATCTAGAATATCAACTTTCCTGAGATAGTGGTACTCTGAAGTTCCTGAGGGATCTCAGCCTTTTGCCTTCTGCATAGGTGTATGTATACTGGCAGCCATGATTTGTTTGCATGTGATTTGCTCAGAGTATTATTCTCTGATAATTGTCTTCAAGGCCCTACATTTGTCCCTGAGTTTCACTACTAAGAATAAAAGAAGACAAGCCTTCAACCACATTGCATTGACTGCACCATTTATCCTGAACCACTCACCCTGATCCACCTCACACACAATTTCTGTACCTTTTCCATATGTCCCAGTTTCTGACCCTATAACTAGTATTTCTATTCAATTTTAAATTTTCTCACAGATGTTCCTATGTAATGCTTCTAGTAAGTTCACTTTGCTTTTATTTTTTTAATTTAATTTTTATTTTTATTCATTCATTTATTTTAATATGACCACACACACACACACACACACAGAGAGAGAGAGAGAGAGAGAGAGAGAGAGAGGTAGAGGGAGGGGAGAGAGGGAAAGTGAGAAAGTAAGCCACCAGGTCTGGTACTCAAACCGTGGTTGACCATGTGGGAGTATCCGGCACTTTAACCACCATGCCATCTGCTGGTCCCAGTTCATTTTCCTTTTGAAATGAACCCTAGATGCTGCTGATAGGATTATTTTCATGTGTGTGGGTCTTTGTTGGTGGTACTATCCTCAGAGGTCCTGTTCAGTTCTCCCATTGATAAGTTACTTTCCAGTTTTATTACAGAATTAATTATACTGAGTTCCTCCCTAGATTATTCATGTATTATAATGATATTGGGTCACTGGAAAAGTCATGATACATTTTTGCATAGAAAAACAGAAAAAATATGCCATAATTTTTCCAATGGCCTAATACATTATTGAATTTATATATTTTAATTCCATTGCCTTCAGCATGTTATATCTTTTGTATAGCACATAACTCTCTCGTAGAGAATGTTTTATTAGTTCTTTATATTGTGTTTTATTCCTACTCTCTCCCAAATGCACTTACACCTCTCAGAGAAATGAGATCTGTAACTATATCTCAAAATAAAATAAAATAAAAATAAAAAAGTACCTCCAGTGCTTCCTGCAATCCTAATAACTTCCTAATTTGTTATACACGAGGTAATCAAAAAGTTCATGGAAAATGTGTACTATGAAAAAACCTATGCATGTATTTCACAATTTTTTGCACCTAAATAAACTTATACTGTAATTCCATTTTCCAATAAACTTTGGAAGTTCCTCCATTTATAAGCAAGCAAACAGAATGAACAAGTAAATACAAAAATCCTCAAGGCATGTATAAAGTACATCTTACTGCATGATATGAAATTATCTGAGTTCCTTTTTAAAATGTACCTATTTGAACATGTGTATTTATATGTTTATATGTAAATATGAAAATTATACACAATTTAAACATTTTTATGAATATACTGATATAGTTTTTTTTAAATAAAACTACTTCTGAGATTAAAAATAATAGTTGAAAGTATAAAGAGAACTATCACAGGCTTCATGAGCATTTTGACCTAAGGTTTGTTATGGAAGGTCATTTATATCCCTATCTTCCTCTCTCCTCTAATTCCTAGAGAAGAAATAAATACTAGAATTTTCAATATAGTACTTCTTGGCTTCTAAATAGGATTGTTATTTTTATGTCTGAGATTATTATCAGATGCTATGAAAGATTACTCATAACAAGGATTTTGGAAAATGTGAAAAATATTTAGGAATTTCAGGATCATTATGGTTCTGCAAGATCACTTTTAGAGAACACATTCAATACTCTAGGGTAGCTTAGGCTCTGTCATAGGGCAACCATTGATATTTTCAGCTGCAAAACTGTCAGTACAGTAAAAGTTCTGACTTATTTTAAGATACTTTTGCTTAACTCAGCTTAAGCATATATATATAAAATTATACAAACGTAGCTAGTTGTCTGTCAAAATGTTTTCTGCCCTATTAAGAGAAAGAAAGCATCCTACTGTATTTGAAATATGATTTATTTGGGGACCAGTAAATGACATAATGGTTACATCGCTGGACTCTCACATAGTCAACTGTAATTTAAGTTCCAGACCCAGAGGCTTAAAATTCAGGCTGGGTGCATGTGCATGCATACCCAAAATCCCGAGAGGAGAATGGAGGAGAAGGGATTGTGGTGTGGCCATCCCCCCTGGTGTGTGTGTGGGTGATTTCTTGCTTTCTGTCTCTCTGTTTCTCTCTGACTCTCCAGAGAGCGTACGCACCCTATAGCAGGAATTCTTCTTAAAAAAAAAAAATATATATATATATATATATATATATATTTTTTTTTTTTAAGAAGAATTCCTGCTATAGGGTGCGTACGCTCTCTGGAGAGTCAGAGAGAAACAGAGAGACAGAAAGCAAGAAATCACCCACACACACACCAGGGGGGATGGCCACTGTGGAGAAATATTTATTTTCTTATAAATACTTTTTTTTTTTTAATAATAGATGAAGCACTTTGAACTAGAAGAAGCAAATTAAATTACACCAAATGTACTTTAGATATATACTCACTCACTATACAGAAAATTCTTAGAAAGGAGAATTTCTATATCATCTGCATTCAATTTATAAAACTGGTGAGATATTTGATTTTCTGTAAAACTGTATAGTAGATATGTGAATAGTGAAGCAAAAAATTAAAATTTATTATTCACAAAGTACAGAAACCTTTAGTGGTCACAGTAATTATTCCTCTTTATTGCATATTGATATTCTTTGAACTAGTCATCCTGATCATTCATACACAATAGGTCACTTTCCTCTTCCACTCTTAGCATTTTTAACCTTCCTGATTGAAGTATCTATAGCTGATCTTTCTTATGTTTCTAGGTTACATAGACATAAATAACTTCATGCAGTGAAAAAAAATCAGTAAGTTAGCTTGTTTAGTGCTTCACAAAACAAAACAAAAGCATCCTACATTAAGTAAGTAACTTATGTTGTCCTTTTTTTTTTTTTTTTTTTTTTGTTCCAGGGTGCTTTGGTGAGTGCAAGTTCGGATGATACACTTCATTTGTGGAACCTTAGACAAAAAAGGCCAGCTATTCTTCATTCTCTTAAATTTAACCGAGAACGGTAAGAACATATAAGTTAAAACAATGTTTTAAATCCATATTTCAATATGAAAATGTTTAATATGAACCAGCAATTCTACTTGTAAAAATTGATCCTAAGTAACTGTCAGAATTTCCTGAACAAATTTCAGGCAAATGTGACAGACTTTTATTATTATAATCTCGGTAACTAGAAATAATGCATGCATATACTGTCTTTTATAATAGCTTCATTTTATAGAAAAAGCATAATCACTATAGATTCAGTTATCACTAATAGTGAACACCTAAACTTTTTGTTCTCCTAGCTCTAAACCAATACTTCAGCAATGACATATTCTTTTTCCTGGGCTAGGGTACTGAAAGCCTAAACCTGAAGTTTAAAGGTCAAGTAAATAGTTAACATGCTTTTATACCTTTTAATCACAGGTACCTTCTGTACTGTAACCCTTTCACTTGAAATATTTTTACAGTAAAAAAAAATAATAATACAGAGACGAAGGTTTTATGTGTCCAAAAAAATTTAGTACCCTCAAGTAACACTAACTGTCCAAGATTAATATTTTCAAAGATAATAACTTGATCAGAATTCAGGTCTCATTTTAGAATAAAATATTTATATATGAAGGGTAAAAAAAAATATTTTAATTCTCATAGGTTTGTATTAATAGTTGGGAAAAACTCCTGCTACAAAAAAGCATATAACAAGAGAAAACTAAGCAAGTTTATTAACTCCTGCAGTACACATCATGCAGAGGGGCAGAAGAGAGGATGTAGGTCAAAGCTGTGGTTTAGAGTCCAGTTTATATAAGATCTTTTAACAAAGAGCATTACATTTTAGAGAGGTGCCAGGACAAAGAGGAAAGCAGTCCCAGACTTCCAAAGGTGGGAAAATATAGGAAGGTAAATTTATGGGAGGGCATTAATGAGAGAAAGATTTTTCACAGACACTGGCACCACTGATTCTGAGCTGATAAGGAGCCTTTGTCTTTGTAAATCTCAGTCCTGCTTTTAGATGAACAGAGGAAAGGCAGAGAGCTGCCCTGCATCTTAACTGTCTTCAGTGTAAAATTTTTTCATATTTTGGGGAGGAAATATTTAGATTCTTTCATGATTAAAAAGAGGAAATTAAATGAATATATTCTTAGAATTTATTTGTAATAAACTGTACCATATTTTTTAAAGTTTTTTTCTATAGGGTGGATGCACTTGCCAGAGAGAACAGAGAAAGAGAGAGAGGAAAAGTGAGAAATCACCCCCTCACCCAGAGTAGATGGCCCTACCACAATTCCTTCTTCTCCATTCTCTTCTTGGGATTTTGGGCACATCATTATGTATTCACCAATAATCCACCTAGAAATAAAGTAAAATTTGTAGTAGAATTTAGCTACATAAAGTAATATGATAATTATTTATTATTTAGGGAACAGTCTTTGGAGTGAATAGGAAGGAACCTCACAGAAAAATTTGATGTTAATGACAAGAAGAGAAATCTCGGAGAAGTAAATTTATACAGACTACCAAATGCCATTCAAATAAAAAATGGACGCAAGCAGTCCCTGGGCTAAGTCACAAAATAGTACATATTTTATTTTACTGAATGATAGAGGTTTATGAGGATTCACCACTATAAAGGCAGAACTTAATAAAGTAAAACATGGTGAAAAAAAATAAATATGGTGGGAAAAAAAAGGACAGCAATTGTATATGTGTGTGTATATATATATATATGTCAATTATATATATATATATATATACACACACACATATGTATACATATACAGACATTCTTTCTTACACACACACTATTTTTATTGTCATGAACATAATATTAAGTCATTAACCTTAAATATTATGAATAATATTCATGAGAAAAACATCTCTATATTTTAGGATTCAGCATCAATGAAATTTTTTTGACCTAGTTTTTTTTATACATTCAATCATTGTACATCACGTGGCTTTTAAAGTGAATTTACCCAGAACCAATATAACTCACACTGGTACAGCTGAGAATACTGTGCTGTTATTGTCAACAGACAACAATGTATTTGTATGTCCTATAAATGTCTTGCCTCTGTAGTTTTTCTCTATAGTTTCTTTCATCACACTGTATTTTCAAAATTCAGTATTTTATAAGAAAAAGGGAGTTTATATTTTAGAATTTTGCAATTTTGCTAAAAGTAGACAGGACTTTTTTCTTTAAATTAGATCTAATTTTGATTATTTTAAAATTTAAAATGAGTATTGTAGAAGAAATTTCAAGATACTAAAGATTTTTAGGGTCAAAGTTTTTTATACAATTTCTTTTACTTTACCATAAAAATATCAACAATTCTGCTACCATATTGATTTTATATCTTTTTCTGCTGTTAAGACTTTTTAAATTTGGTTTGTTTCAATGCTTTAAGTAGATCTGACCCTACATATTTTTGGCAATGGATGGAGTGAGTTTCTCTCCCCTTTTACAATTAGAATGTTAAAGGGAATACTTTGGGTCCTTTTATGGACTTTTTAAGGAGACAAAATAATTGATAGTGACAATGTCTTTTTAAAAATAATTATTTAATTTAATTTAATTTATTATTATTTTAAAAAATTGACCAGAAAGGGATAGAGAGAGAGAGAGAGAAAGTGAAAAACAAGCTACCTAGTCTGGGGCTTGAACCAGTGGCAACCATCTGGAAATCCAACACTTTAACCACCACACCACCTGCCAGCCCCAGTATAATACTTTCTAATTATAATTTTATTATCTTAATTGAAGTGGATTGGTTGGTAGTAAAATAAAAGAACAAGCTGACAGAGTTGGTACAAGATTAAAATCATAGGAACCTATACTTCACTGCTTACGAAAAATGTGATACTTACCTTTTTGAAAAAGATAAATACACATCATCATGTGACTTGAGAATATTTTTTAACTATCACAATTTATTGTAGAAGGGGAAATATCTCTGCATGGTGAATGGGAGGTTCAAGTTTATAAAGGAGAACAAGCATCTCTTGGAACAGCCTCCAAACCCTTTGATAGTAACCATTTAATTATGCAAGTTTTTTTTTTTATATACCCTTGTGCTTATGTTGTATGCTTCAGGTTATATAGTTTATGCAGTAAGTTTTAGTTGATTTTATTAAGGCACCTTTATCCTTTGGTCTTATTATCTTTTTTTTTTTTTTTCTTTTTTGCTATAGGGCACGTGCACTCGCCAGACAGACAGAGATAGAGAGATAGAAAGCGAGAAATCACCCCCCAGGGGGGATGGCCATGCCGCAATCCCTTCTCCTCCATTCTCCTCTTGGGATTTTGGGCACATACGCACACGTGCCCGGTGTGAGTTTAAGCCACCGGGTCCGGGACACGAACTGCGGTCGACTACATGGGAGTCCAGCGACATAGCCATTACGCTAACTGCTGGTCCCTGGTCTTACTATCTTTGAAGGCAGCAACTGAGTTTAAATATTCTAGTCACTTCTGGTGGGTGCTATCTGGATTCCTTACAAATACAGTTTTAAACTTAAACATGAACAGGGTAAAAAGGAGCAGAGGGAAAGGGGCAGCTCTTCACCCAAGCCCCTGCTCAGTTTTAGGTGTGGGAGGAGAGACTGTTTTGGCCCTTGAAATGACTGACCTGAGTTCCGGCACCCACAGGGTAAGAAAGTAGGAAGATTGATCTTTCTTATGCCAATGCTACTTTATCCTCCCCCCAACTAGGAGCAGAAGGAAAGCAGACCCAACCAGAGGCAGCTCTTCACCTATGCTCCCTGCCCATATAGGATGTGGGAGGAGGGACTGGCTTTGCCCTCAGAACTACCATTTTGTTCCAGTAACCACAGGGAGCAGAGAGAGACCTGGCCTGAATAGAGGCAGCTCTTCACCCAAGCTCCCTGACCCAGTCTAGAGTTTAGGGGAAGGGTTGTCTAGGCCCTTGTGACCACAATCCCCTGTGATTTTGGATACCACCACCAAATTCTCACCTCCCAGCTAAGTCCCCTTAAGGCTATTTAATTTTGTAATTCTTGGTTATAGTAGAACTATTACTTTATATTGAATTTAAGGCCAAGCAAATCTTTTTTTCTTTTTTTTTTTTTTTAAATTTGAACTATTTTAAACCAGGTTTTTTCAATTACATACTTTAGCAATTGTTGCTTTTTAAAACTAAAATGCAGAGAGGCCAACAGGTTGGATAGTAGTTAAGGTGCTGGACTTCCACAAGGCCAACTGTGTTTGAGTCTGGATCTGGCGCTTTGAAACTCATGCCAGGTGCTTGTGCGTGTGCGCCCAAAATCCTGAGAAGAGAATGGAGAAGGGATTGTGGTTTGGTCAGCCCCTTCTGTGGGTGATTTCTCACTTTCTCTTTCTCTGTCCCTCTCTGTCTCTCCAGGAAGCACATACACCCTATGGCAAAAATCTCTTGAAAAAAGAAAAAGAACACTGAAATGTGGATTTTTAATGTATTCCTTAATATAGTTCTTTTTTTTTTTCCCCTCAGTCTCTGGTCCTAACCTCAATATATGTGTAGATGCAATTATATCATTAAATATCTTGATATCTGTTCCAGAATAGATGAGAAAGTTCATCAGTGGAGATTATTTTTCTCCAATGACCATTCTTTCTCAGTGGGAGAAAGGCTTCATAATTTTTTAAGTCGAGTAAAAAAGAATAGAGAATTAAATATTACTGAGTATGGTATAAAATGCTTGCATTACTAATGACTCCTGTTAGAGAAAAGATAGAGAATATTAGATGATGAAGTAATTATTTCAAGAACAGCTAAAGAAACTAAAGTAACGGTTTTCAAGACTAAGTTCTTTGTCTTTTGCTATTTCAGTTTTAATGAAGAAATAAGTTTGAAACTTTAGTGCAAGAAAGGATATTTCTGACTCAATCTTATATAAACAAACTGATACTATTAATTATCATTATTTAGTTTTGCCAAATGATATTTTAATTCTAAATTTCCAGGGGGATAGGAATACCTTATAAATTTTTTATCTCTACCACATATACAGGCATATAGTACTTGTGAAATTATTATTATATTAATAAATATTCTACATGTCAGTCATTACTCTTAGTATATTATATGACAATGTGAGTTAAGAACCAATGATTCCTCATACATCTTTGACCATATGTATTTCTTGCTCATTCCAAGCAATTTCACAATAACTGTAAGATTATAAAAATGTTATAATCTTTGCTTATATAATAGATAATAAATAATATGTTGGGGGAAATCAAGATAAAGTCAATATTCTGTGCTTTCTAATGAAAAAGTAAGCTATTTAAGCAGTTCTCTTGAGAATATCAGGTAATCCATTTTATATGATACTACATATCAAAATAAAAATTTAATGTTTTACATTTGGAATTAGCAAACTGTGGCTCATGGGTCACATGTGACCCACTATCATTTTAAAAATAAAGTTTTATTGGAATAAACCTATGTTCACTGGTTTATTTATTATTGATGGCTATTTTTGTACTATAAGAATTGTTGCAACAGAGACCATATGGCTTTCCAACTAAAAATATTTATTATATTTTAGCATATCATAATTTTACTATCTTGACTGGGATTATTGGTAAGTCATTTTTGTAATCGCAGAGATTTGACTTTTTAAAAAATTTAACTTATGGGGATCAGCAGTTGGTGTAATGGCTATGTCGTTGGACTCCCATGGAGTTGACCGCGGTTTGAGTCCCGGACCTGGTGGCTTAAACTCGCACCGAGCGCACGTGCCTTATAGCAAAAACCTCTCCAAAAGAAAATTTAACTTATGTTCAACAGTTTTCTAACTAACAACAGACAACAAAATCTAGTGAAATTTTCACTGGCTGGTTACTTGATTAATAGCCCTGTAAGACCATGAATGAAATTCAACTAAATGGTCTTTTTTTTTTTTTTAATTTTGTCTATCATATAGTAATTCTAGGTAGTTCAAATTCATCAGATTCTTTTTTGTAACAAAATTACCTTTCTTCTTTTGTAGTTTATTTATTTCTTCCATAAGTGAATGAGAGAGGGGAAAATAATAGGGTCTAATGCTGCAATCCATCCCAGTCTCAGCTAGCTCTGAAACTTGGACATGTGCATGTATGGTGTACTCGGGGAAGTCTTCTGACTTGAACCCAAAGCCTTCCCATGTGGGTCGGCTTCACAGAGCACCGTTTTTACCACTCTGACATCTTATTTCTTTATTCTTCCTTCTATATGGTTTGAGTTTTTCCACTAATTTCTACGTATCAGTTCTTTTTCTTTTTCTTTTCTTTTTTTTTCGTAGAGGTTTTTGCTGTAGGGCACATGCACTCCCCAGAAAGACAGAGAGAAACAGAGAGACAGAAAGTGAGAAATCACCCCCCAGGTGGGCTGGCCATGCTGCAATCCCTTCTCCTCCATTCTCCTCTTGGGATCTTGGGCACGCACGCACATGCGCCCGGCACGAGTTTAAGCCATGGGGTCCGGGACTCGAACTGCGGTTGACTACATGGGAGTCCAGTGACATAGCCATTATGACATCTGCTGATTCCCGTATCAGTCCTTTGATTTAAGGTCTTGAAGAAATTGGACCCAGCAGATGGCATAACCTTTACATTCACTGAACTCCCAAATGGCCAACTGCAGTTCGAGTCCTAGATCCAGTGGCTTGAAATTCACCCTGGGTGCTTGAGCATGCATGCCCAAGATCCTGAAAGGAAAATGGGGGAGAAGGGATAGCAATGTGGCTATCCCCCCCGGGATGATTTCTCACTTTCCCCTCTCACTGTCTCTGTCTCTCTCTCTCTCTAGCGAGAGAGCATGTGCTCTAAGGCAAAAGCTGCTCCAAAAGAAAAAAAAAAAAACATTAAAGAAATTTTAGGGCAGCTATCTGTTCCTTTCTCTGACTGTTGTAGCGCCTACTCAACATTATTATCATTATCATCATCATTATTCTCCTCCACATCATCATCCTCTTTAACTAGTTTGAGGGAACTACATAGCCACAAGCCTTTAAGTTACTACTAGTAATTTTGCAATTGTGGTTCTTATTCTGAAACCTGAAGCATAGATAAGCAGCGGTAATTCAACCACATAACAATGTTTCTTAAAAATTTGGTTCATAGGGGGCCAGCAGGTGGTGTGGTGGTTAATACACCGATTTCCACATGGCCAACCACAGTTCGAGTTCCAGAGCTGGCTGCTTGCTTTCTCACTTTTCCTCTCTTTCTGTCTCTCTCTGGTGAACATATGTGCCCTGCAGCAAATTAAAAAAATAATAATGATAAATGTGTTTAAATAATTCTTTTAAAAAATGTGGTTCATAGATTATTTGTATCAGTATCAGCTAGGGAAGTACTACCTAAACTTTAATGTGTTTATGATTCAAATACAAATACACAGCACACATGTAATCATGTCCTCTCCCTCACTATCTCAATCATCCTAAGTAAATCACGTTCTCACTGGGTTCAGAAAAAATACGAGAGTTTTTCTTAACTAATAGTTCTAGCCACTACTCATCAGTTGGTCATTTGATCTAAGGTGAAACTTTTTTGTCATCAAGGCTTTAGTTTATTCCTTAATAAGGATGAGAAAAAAAAGTGTTACTAGTTCAAAGTATAGTTCTAGTTCTATTTGGATCTTCCCTATATATCCCATTGTTCTTGTGCTATAGAGTCTTTATATATTGGAATTCTCCCTGTTGCTTCAGGTCTCATTACTGAAACCTGGCAGTTCTTAGTCTTTTCTTATTAACCCTGGAAATTGCTATGCCATATAAAAATGTGCTGTTTTTCTACTTGAACTCCTATATTTGTATCGTATTTTATGGGATTAGTGTTTTCTTTAGTCTCCCTGTGATTCAGCATGGATGGTCTCAAATATTCTTTAAAATGAGTTTCCTCTTCCTACTTAAGATTGAATTAAAATATTGATCATTCATTGCCTAGAAACGTTATTATCACATTATTTCCTGTGCAACCTTATTAAATATCCCTTGGTGACAGCAATTCCAGACTTTAGGTTTTAATCAAACTTGTCCAATGTATCATATAGGTTACACATTAATTTGATTGTCAATGAACTCTTATTACTCATGTGTTAATAATAGCAGGGTATTTAGTGTTCTGGGTATAGTATGCAGAGTGTTTTTAGCAGGATACTTGAATAGGTGAAGTTTGGTTCAGAGAGGTAGGCTGTGGAAAAGTTAGATGAATTAGACTGAGGATATAAGTTGCATATACTGAGTATTCCCTTTTCACTCTTATACAAAGAGGTACAAGATAAAATCATGTTGGAAATGTATCATTTTTTGGGGGGGAGAGGTTTTTTTTTTTTTTGCTATAGGGTGCACGTACTCGCCAGACAGACAGAGAGAGACAGAGAGACAGAAAGCGAGAAATCACCCCCCAGGGGGGATGGTCACGCTGCAATCCCTTCTCCTCCATTCTCCTCTTGGGATCTTGGGCACGCACACACATGCGCCTGGCGTGAATTTTAAGCCACCGGTCCAGGACGTGAACCGCGGTTGACTACGTGGGAGTCCAGCGACATAGCCATTATGCTAACTGCTGGCTCCCTCGAAATGTATCATTTTTGTGGCTTCTGTTGTTAGTTGTTTGTTTGTTTGTTTTATTAATCTATCTGCCTGGTATCAGAATTCTGTTCAGCTCTTTGAACGTTTTACTGACTTCCGTTTCCAAACAAATTCTAGGAAACATTATGATTCAGTAACAAGTTCCAGCAAAAGATAACTGAACTTATCCTCCTTCTTTTTTTAAGAATTAATAAAGAGCACAGTTAGAATAAACTAGGGAGTGATTACATGTATAGAAGATGTAACCACTTACATTATAAAATATGTGATTTACTCTGGTAAACTCACATATTTTATAAGTGAATTTTAAAATAAATATAAAATTTTAATATAAAATTTTTATATTGAATTTTAAATTCACATATTTTATATTTGGAAGTCATGATTGTTTTGGTTATAGAACAGGTCCCAGAGCTGGTAAATTCACATATTTTATATATGGGAGTCATGATTGCTTTGGCTATGGAACAGGTCCCAGAGCTGGTCAGAAAGCTCATTCCAAAGATGAGAATAAAAAAACAAAATGAAGTGAAGAGTACAGTAGATCTCTGACATTATGAGTTGTATTTTAAACTGAATGAAAAATGAATTTATCATTTCATATAGACATAAGTACCACTTCTCTGTGAAGTCTGAAATTTATGTTTTATGTGTACCTAATATCTATTTTAAGCAAATCTTATCTAAGCCAATAAGCAATGTATTGGAGTGAGAAGTAGTGATTTTTTTAAACAAACTGATATGGCTTTGAATGTCAGTTTTGCCACGTTTCCCCTTTTTCAAACAGAAATAGGTGTCTTGCATTGCTGTTTTCAGAATTAGAAATAATATAAATTAATTCTCTCATTAGGCACTTATTAGTGACTGTTATTATCATTATTGCTTTTATTGATATAAATAACAGTAGTTATTTATTCTGTAGCCTAAACTAATAACAGAATGCTACTTGAATATATATAATAAATTTTATTGTTTATATAGCTATTACATAATAACTAAAAGAAGAATAAAATGCTAATCAGACATAAAATTTAGGTATTTTAATTATAATTTTCTTTCTTTCAGAATTACTTACTGTCATCTACCTTTCCAGAGTAAATGGCTCTATGTTGGGACAGAAAGAGGAAATACACATATTGTAAATATTGAATCTTTCATTCTTTCTGGATATGTTATCATGTGGAACAAGGCAATTGAACTGTAAGTTTGACTTGTATATCATTTTATTTGACTTATATATTTTATATAGATAACATATATATTGAATCACAGTATTTGACACATCTATTGGTAATTTATAATTAAGTGGAGTGAAAAGTTCAGCTGAAATAAATTCATGAAACCTTTTAAAAATATATATTCTAGTATTAACATATATTAATTTTAGACTTTCCAAAACCATAACTACTACAAACATTGAAAATGTCATATATACAATATTTGATGATTAAATAGTAAGACTTGGGCCAGCCAGTGGCATAGTAGTTAAGGTAGCTGGATCCCACATGATCAAATACACAATTTGAGTCCTGGACCTGGTGGCTTGGAAAACACATGGGGCACAAGTACACGCATGCCCAAAATGAAAAAGAAGGGATTGCGGTATGGCCAGCTCCCCTGGGGAGTTATTTCTCACTTACTCTCTCTTTCATTCTTTCTCTCTCCCCCTTTTTCTTTCCCCTAGCAAGTGAACACACCCTTTAACAAAACTGAAAATGAAAAGAAAAGAAAGTACAGCTCATTGTACAGTTATACATGGAAAAAAATCATCATACTTTGTTATAATCAACCTTAGTATAGCCACTTTCAGATGTATTATTTTAGTAAAAATAAAAGTCACTATCAGTGTACATATTTTTTAAGACTGGAGTTTATTGTTCTTTAGCCTCAATAAAATATTGTTCTGGTTCAAAAGAGAAACAATTTATTAGTATCTTCATGTGATACAGCTTTTTGAATATGTGATTCATGGCAATTATAACCACTTTGACTTTGGCAGTCATGTTTAAGTTTCTGCACATATAAACTGTAAATCTCTTTAAATATGAAACTTCATTAAATTTCAAGCCATCCTTTTGTAGTACATAAATAAATGGTTCTCCAGGTCAATTAGTTAATTGGAAAAACACATTTTATTTAATAAATGTTAATGTCTCTCTATATCAGGTGCTTAATAAGAAATGATGGACTTGAAGCAGACTCATTTTCTCTCTTATATATTCTGATGTACAAACTCATTTTCCAAGCTTCTGATTAAAATATCCTATTTATTGAATCTTGATTTTGATCTTTATAATAATTCTTTTCCCTATTCCAATGTTTTAATGTGCATTTTATTTCTCGATAGGGAAGGTTGTTACTAGTTATACTCTTGTTATAATATTCCTTTTGTATTATAACCTAATGGATCTTTTATTGATGATAATTCTTCCTTATTAGATTAAGGGAGTGCAGAATCTTTATTGTTCTTTCTTTTTCTTCATACTTGACTTATTTTGGAGCACTACTATGATAAATAGTTACACATTTTCATTTATATTTTCAAGATAATTGGTATGAGCTATTTTTCTCTTATTTGTCCTAAAGTTTTAATGTTCTATATGTGTATTTTTAAAATATATATCTATAGAAAGTCACATTTCCCAAAAAGTTGCTTACTTTTTAGCTATTTTGGAAGGATTTTTCCCTCTATAATGTTAGTCCTATAACAAGAATAACAGGGCTGAATTTAATGCCTTTTTCATAAACAGTGTTTTAGGATGTTGATAAAAACATACAAATATAAATAAAATTAAGAGAAGATTGAATTATAGAACTTCTAAGCAAACTCAATATTAGTGCAAATGTGTATATGTATCATTTATGTTAATCTGAAAGCTGCTAAAGTAATCAAGGGCTTATTATCTTAAACAGATCATATATTTCAATACTCTTGAAATGTTGTTTCCATATTCATTTTCTTAAAAAATCTTTTTCATAGTTCAAATTACCACCAGAATGTGTGGTTTATACTTTGTTTATGTGAACTTACATAACCTATATGATTTCAGGCCTAATGAAGTTTAAGAATGTTTATTGTAAACTAGTATAAAATTAGGAGAAATTAAAGAAATAAAATGAGGCATTTTTACTTTCATAGTGTGATATTACTCATGATTTGGCACTAGAATAGCATCTACCATTCTGTGTATAAATCCTGTGTTTTGTGGAGTTGTCTGAAAATGTGCTTGAAATATCAAGATATTATTAGTAAACAGTGTGTCATCAACTCCTGAATGTCTCTTCTTTTATTTATACCAAATTTTCCAAAGTGTGTTTCATGAAATTGTAATTACATTGTGATAGATTACATTTTAAATGCCATCTTCAGTTCTCCCAGAATTTTTTTTTCAATTGCTCTCTACCTCGTGATGTACATTAGAAACTTCACACTACTTCCAGTTAATATGTGTCAAGTCTATGAAACAATAATAAAATAGACATTTAATTTGACTAGTCATTTCATAAATACAACTTAGATTATCAATTTTAACAATATTTCTCAGTATGGCAATGCAAGAATTGCCTTTTAAAGATAAATGAGATCATATTTATGTTAAGTCCTTAGCTGAAATACTTTTCATTGAATGTTTATTTTTCAATTGTTTCAAGTTTTAGTGAATTATCTTTATTGTAATTATAGGACATTCCCAGAATTATGAGTAGCTTTTGTTTCTAAAATGTATAGATTTTTGCTATAGGGTGTGTGTGCTCGCCAGAGAGACAGAGAGATAGAAAGCGAGAAATCAACCCCCCCACACCTGGGAGGATGGCCACGCCACAATCCCTTCCTTCTCTTTCATTCTCCTCTTGGGGTCGTGGCACGCACACACACACACCTGGAGTGAGTTTAAGCCACTGGGTCCAGGACTCAAACCATGGTTGACTACATGGGAGTCCAGTGACATAGCCATTATGCCAACTGCTGGTCCCAATGTGTATTATTTCTAATCCTTAAAATGTTCAGTAGTATCAATGCTACTATCTTCATTTTCTAGAAAATTTTAGACAAATCCACTAACAAAATTTATCAATATCTAATAAATCTGTATTTATTTGTCTGGGTCACTCTGAGGAGTCAAAATCAGAGGAATCTAGAACTACTTAATTTTCCACTTTTCTAAGATTTAAATCTTTATAATTCGATGTCCAGGAGATGTCATAATGGTTATGTCACTGGACTCCCACATAGTCAACAGTGGTTTGAGTCCTGGACCAGGCGCTTAAAACTCATGCCAGGTCCATGTGTGTGCATGCCCCAAATCCCAAGAGGAGAATGGAGAAGAAGGGATCAAGGATCACGGTGTGGCCAGCCCCCCCCACTCAGGAAGTGATTTCTTGCTTCCTGTCTCTCTGTCTCTCTCTGTCTCTTTGGCAAGCACATGTGCTCTATAGCCAACATCTCTCTAAAACAAACAAGCAATTCTGTGGCAGTACCTTTGATGCTTTTCATGTATGCTTAAGGAATACACTAAAATTATGTCAGTATAATATTAATCTGGAACAATTATCATGAAGAAAGGCTGTAGAAAATTGATCAGTAATACACATACATTGTCACATCAGGTTTTATCATATTTAACTATGATGTAATCATATACAACAATGAGATAAAATAAACTATGGATTGTAAAAGAAACATGCCAGGTATTAGACTAGAATAAAGTCAGACTGACAGAATACAGGTCTGTTTAATGGTATGCTGTTAGACTGATAATTATCTGTTATTCATTATACTATAATAGATAACTAGATAAATGAGGCATAAACAATGAACTAAGTTTCCACAGTTTGTCAGTTTTCTGTAAGATGGCTAACATTAGAGTGAGTTTCTTTTTAAATCAAAGGTTCCACTGTACTTAGGGGAAAGATCAGAAGAGATTTTATGTTAAATTTTAAATCAGGTATGTACTTTGCAATTTGGTTCAAACAAGTTTACAGCATTAGTTTTGTGGCTGTAATATTCTTTTTTCTGTATAAATAAAAACTCAATTGGGACCAGTAGTTAGCCTAATGGCTATGTCGCTGAACTCCCATGTAGCTGACTGCGGTTCAAGTCCCGGAACCGGTGGCTTAAACTCACACTGGGCACGTGTGCATGCATGCCCAAGATCCCAAGAGGAGAATGGAGGAGAAAGGATTGTGGCGTGGCCATCCCCCTTTGGGGGGTGATTTCTTGCTTTCTGTCTCTCTGTCTCTGTCTTTCTGGCGAGTGCACGAGCCCTATAGCAAAAACCTCCCTCAAAAAATTAATAATAAATAAATAAATACTCAATTTAAAGTTTTCAAAAGCCCATATCTGGTGATAAACATTTTAGATGATGAATCAACCCATTATTGTATGGATTTTTATTCTTTAGTATGATGTTTTAAGAGGTCAGCAGATGACATAGCGATTACATCACTGGACTCCCACATGGCCACCATGGTTAGAGTTCCAGATCCAGTGACTTTAAACTCACTCAGGGTGCATGTGCATGCATGCCCAAGATCCCAGTAGAAGAATGAAGGATAGGGGATTGCAGTGTGGGCATCCCCACTTGGGGGTGATTTCTCACTTTCCCTGTCACTGCCACTGTCTCTCTCTGTCTCCAATGAGAGCATGTGCCCTGGGGCAAAAACCTCTTCTAAAAAATCATATATTTTTAAAAATCACAAATATTTTAATATAGTAGAAGAAAAATAGTAAAGAAAACCAGAAACTCAAATGAATTTGAGCTCAATATTGAGAATTTGGGAGTTTATTCTAGTATAATCTTAATTTCTTTGTTTCAGTCTCTAACAGTAAGGTATTTTCATGTTTAAATTATAATTGCTGTTTTGAATTGATTTAACAGATCCACCAAGACGCATCCAGGTCCAGTTGTACATTTAAGTGATAGCCCAAGAGATGAAGGGAAAGTGAGTATTATAATACAATTATTCTTGCTCTTATATTCTTCATTCTTGTAAAAAAGTATTTATTATTTTATGCTAAATATGGAGCACAGTTCATAGTATTCACTGTTACCAAAAATTAAAATTTGTTGAATGAATGATTCATGTTAATAATGGTCCCAATTTAAATCTTCAATTTCATCCAAAGCTAAATTTGATATATTCTGGAATTCTGAGGATTAAAACTTGTGGAACAACTTTAACTTTTGAATAATCTGTGATTGAACTTAAATAATATGATTATCAATATTATTAATCATTTACTTTTGTTTTTTGATTTGGGCAGTGATAAATGATCAGTATTAAAAGCAAATTAGCCAATCGATTTTATAAATATATATTAGTATAAAACCTATTTCACATTACAGAAATAATTCTTATTCATCTTCATTATTTTATAATTTGCATTTGTTGATGAGGAAACAAAATTAATAACATGAAGAGATATGACATGTCACCAGCATTATAAATAATATGTCTCTTTAAGTATATAAGTTTTGCTCAGTAACACAGAAAACAATAGTTTATTTAGTGCAAGGTTTTTTTTGTTTATTTTTAATGGATAGAAACAGAATTAACATAACAAAATTTGAACCTTGTAGGTAAGTTCACCTGATGAAACATTTTTTTTTTCCAAATTGATCCATACATACAATGTAATTTCAGTCAGGATCAGAATTTATTTATTTTTAAAGAATTTGCAAGCTGAAATTTATCTTAAAATAAAATGCTAAAGAACAGCTGTGACATTTTTGAAAAATAAATTTAGTATGATATTTTTACAGGTGTATATGAGAAGACCATACGGATCTAAATAGATATTCCAAAAATTGTTCAGGCATTTGGTGGAGTTTTCTCTATTTTAGGGATGATTTTTCAGGACATGATTAACTATTGAACAAAAGGTCCTAGACAACTGGCTATTCATTTTGAAAAAAATATTAAGACTTTTACTTTATACTAGTCACATAAATAAATTATACATGTAAAAAATACATAAATGTCAAAATCACAACTTAGGAAGTATTTGAAGAAACTTACAGTAATACAGGTTGTTACTGTGGAGTAAGGACACCCTTGGGTAAGATATAAAATCTAAAAACTTTAAGGACTATATAATAACAAAACCATCATAGTAAGAGTAGACAACAGAGTGGGATACAATTATTTGCTCTATGTATCTAGCAAATAATGAACATGCAGAATATATAAATAATTTATATTAAATTTTCATCTTTTATAATAAGAAATATATGGAATATAAATACATTTAACTATGTGGACAATTTAACATTGTCAATATTTAAAACATATTTTCATTTTTTATTTGTTATGACCTAGAATATTCATTTCAGATGTCTATACTATTTATGTGACTAAAGGGACAAAATATTAAAAGCAGTCTAAATATTAATAGAAAAAATAAATGAATGCTTATACATACATACAGTGAAATGCTGTGGTGATGTAGAAAGTTCTTTAAGATACATTTTGAAAAAAAAATTATAGAACAGTAAGGACTAAGACTTCACAAACAATGCACTTATCTTATTTATTTATTTATTTATTTTTTTAAAGGCTTTTGCTGGAGAGGGCACATGTGCTTGCCAGAAAGACAGAGAGAGACAGAGAGACAGAAAGTGAGAAATCACCCTCCAGGGGGATGGCCACACCACAATCCCTTCTCCTCCATTCTCCTCTTGGGATCTTGGGCATGCACGCACATGCACCTGGCATGAGTTTAAGCCACCAGGTCCAGGACTTGAACCACGGTCAACTACATGGGAGTCCAGTGACATAGGCATTACGCCAATTGCTGGTCCCACAATGCACTATCTATATACTGTTAATAATATATTCAAATATCCAAGAAAAAAGGCTAAAAGGATACATACAAATCTAGGCAACAGACTAGAGATTGGAACTGGGCAAAATGGCCAAAGGCATTATTTTCCTTGTGCTGTTCAAATTTTTTATTAAATAATATAATGTTTAGTAAGAGTGTAATTACATATTAAAAGACACAGAATAAATGACTATTAACATCAGAAAACTATGTGTCTGAATTGTCTTACTAGCATAGAATCTTGAATAAATTATTTTACTTATTATATATCAGTAAAGCCTTTTGTTACATAGAAGTTTTTGATATTAATGTATCAGTTTTGACTTTTCATGTGATGCTTGTATTTTCTATTTTTTGTTTTCTATTTTTCCATTGGTTTTAAGGCTTTGCATTACACAATTAGATTTTAATCTCTGTGTTAACCATTTTAAAATTGGTTTGATATTGGTAAATACTTTTATTTTGTGCACATAAGTAATTCATTTATTGGATGGTAAATCCATTTTCCACTCATTTTCAAGAGACCTCACTTTCATATCAAGTATCAATATTTGGATTGACCTTCTGGTATTTCTCTTCTGTTGCATTATGTATCTATTGTAATAATGGCATACTTTCTTAGTTATTAACTTGCAGAATATCTTGATATCTGCTAAACTGGTTGCCTTCCTTCCGAGTTAACTTGGATATCTGGTCCTTTATTCTGTTGTATGAATTTCAGGATCACTTATCAAACTTTGTAATTCATAGTTAAAATTTAGGCTGGGGAACCAGCAGTTAGCGTAATGGCTATGTCGCTGGACTCCCACGTAGTCGACTGCGGTTCGTGTCCCGGACCCGGTGGCTTAAAACTCACGCTGGGCGCATGTGCGTGCGTGCCCAAGATCCCAAGAGGAGAATGGAGGAGAAGGGATTGCGGCGTGACCATCCCCCCTGGGGGGTGATTTCTAGCTTTCTGTCTCTATGTCTCTCTGTCTGTCTGGCGAGCACACGCGCCCTATAGCAAAAACCTTTCAAAAAAAAAATTTAGGCTGTAGTTTGAAAAAACAATGAGATTTGAATATATAATGTAGAGAAAATTTAGATATTTTAAATATGAATATGATATATTTATGAATACTTTAGCTTTCTTTTATGCTTTCCTATATAACATACCTTACTTCTAAGTACCTTATAAAATATAATGCCTTTTTTTGGGGGGGGGTATTGGTTTTTGCTATAGGGCATGTGCGCTCACCAGACAGACAGAGACAGAGAAATCAGACAGACAGAAAGCGAGAAATCACCCCCCAGGGGGGATGGCCATGCCGCAATCCCTTCTCCTCCATTCTCCTCTTGGGATCTTGGGCACGCATGCACACGCGCCCAGCGTGAGTTTTTTAGGCCACCTGGTCCGGGACTTGAACCACGATTGACTACATGGGAGTCCAGCGACATAACCATTACACTAACTGCTGGTCCCATAAAATGTAATGCCTTAATTAATGACTTAATCATTTTAAAATCAGTTTCATAATTATTGTTAATGTAGAAAATATTGTTGATTTTTGATACTTTGTATTCAGCTGCATCATTTAAATCTTTATTTTTAATAGATGTCCTTAGCTTCTCTGGAGTAATCCATGTATAAAAGCATTATAAGTATACAAAAATTTTATTTTTCCTTACTAATACTTATAGTTATATATTATTAATTTTTGTGTTTTGATGACTAGGATCTCAGTAGGGTTGGGTATAAATTATTTCAGTGGGAATTTTTTTGTTTCCGCCCTCAAAGGAAATGCCTCCAAGATTTTAGCATTAAGTAAGATGTTTGCTGCCGGTTCTTGGTTGATTGCATTTATAAAGTTAAAAAATTTCCACCTATTTACAAAATTCTAAGAGTTTTAAATTGTGTTGTGTTGAAGTTGATTTATTGCTTCTCTACAAACTACTTATATAAAGATGACTATCCCTTATCTTGTTGATTTGTTAAATATATTTATAGAGTGTCTAAATTTAAACATTTTTATATTTCTGGAGTTGA